TAAGTTTCCATTATATGAGATGCAACCATATCACAACCCAATCGTGAGACAAGCAAAAACGAGAACAAAATCGATATCGGGGCCAAATTCTTATCCCATCTACAGCCGCATTAGGTGCCGGTAAAGATTCGACACAAACAAAAGCAAGGACAAGGATTCTCAACAAAAAGATAGACAAGCAAGCATAGCATCGATACATCCATACATTCAGCAATCATGCACACAATGCAATCGAGACGGACATCCCAAGGACAAGTGTGAGCAAAAACCCAAAACCAGATTCCAGAAAGCCGAAACGAAAACAAGAACGAGCAAACCGCCCGGAGCCGCAATCAAAATGTATGTACACAGATGAAGAGGGGGAAGGGACAAAGAAACAGCAAATCCGCGTCCATCGACCTCAACTCTCTCCTTCTCTCTCTCTCTCTCTTTTTCGATGCGGACAGTCCGTCGTCACGCACCAACCCACGAAGTTGTCACCCCGCTTAGTCCTCCCGCACCCGTCAGATTCGCCCGTGCCCACAGTCCGTCGTGGCCCACGTCAATCCCGCGCGTTCGGCACCAGCCTGTCGGGTCGCCCAACTCTTACTCTACTCACCTCTTACTTCGCTCGTGTGCCGACCCTTCCTGATCGCGCAACCCCGAGCTTCCAACAACGGGTTAAGAGAGCTGATCAATCGCGCATCCGAAATTTATAGCGTGCATGCATGCGCGAAGAACACGGAATTACCAGGACTTAGAGCGGGGATTAGAAAGGGAGCGCGTGCGTTCTGCATGATCGGGCCGCGGCGTGGGGGACGTAGCCCTTCTCCACGCATCGATCTGAGCATACAAGCCCCGACTTACAAGGATTTCAGCGAAAGAAAGAGAGGGAGGGCGGGAGAGACGAAGTGCAAGAAGAAAGATACAGTTACAATGGCGCCCGCCCAAAATTACAGTTACACACACGATTAAGGGCGCCCGCTAATCAGAGTACCGTTGCAGCCGCATGAAGAAGCGCGTAGACAAAAAGGCNCGCCCGCCCAAAATTACAGTTACACACACGATTAAGGGCGCCCGCTAATCAGAGTACCGTTGCAGCCGCATGAAGAAGCGCGTAGACAAAAAGGCGCCGCGCGGCAAGAAAAATCCTAATTACTGAATTCCTTAATTCCTACCTAATGCGAAGAAGCAAAAAGCACGAACTTCAGGGAAGAAGTCTGAAATTCCGAGAGTCATCGGGGCTCGACAAAATTCGAAAAAGACTCAAAAGGAAATTCAAAAAAGAACGAAGCAAATTCCCGCGCGACGTTCGCGCCCAAAAGGTCGAAACCGAAACGAAGGAAACGACGTCAACATTTATTAATCGCGCGCGTGGGGGCGCGCCAGCCATCCAGTCGACCAATCAGTCAACCGGCCATCCCAGGACACACCCAGCTCCGAACCCAGTCATCCGAAAAGAAGTGACGGAAAAGACGAAAAAGCAAGGACTCTGATGCAATTTTCCACCGATCCCGATCTCCCGTAATTAGCCCAACCTTCCCAGCTTAGGACCCCTCGTTGCATCCGCGCAGAAAACGCGCGTTACAGGAAGTGGTTCGTCACAACACTACGAAGTTTAGAATGAACCGAAAGAAGAGCGAATGGGCTAAACGTAAAGTATTGTATTTAGGCCACGTGCTAGATGGAGATGGAGTCCGACAGGAAGATGCCAAACAATCGCTAGACCTCTGTGTAAGTTGTTGAGGAAGGAAAGAGTTTGGAAGTGGACAAAGATTGTACCTCAACCTTCAAGAAATTAAAGAAATTGCTAATTGAGTACCCGGTCTCAAAGATTGCAAACTCATCACTATCATTCATCATCAGGACTGGCGCGAGCCAATATGAAATGGGCACTATACTCCAGCAGAATGATGGAGAAGGGAACAGGCCCGTAGAGTTCATGTTTTGTAGTCTGCCTAGTGAGAAGGTTGCCACTTCGACGTACGAGCTTGAATTGTTCTCCCTTAGAACAGTACTACATCATGGGGGGGAGATTCATAGCCTCTATCCCCATTGAAGGGAGAACTACGTCCACCTTGCGAGGGACCACGACCCTTCCCGCCCACATAGTAGCTACCTTCGCCACTACCCCTCTGAGTAGCGGGCCCTTGACCTCCACCTCTTCCACGGCCTCCTCTACCTTGTCGCCCTCCCCCACGGGCTGCAGCAGCCTCCTCCTCCCATCTCCAGGCTACTCGGTTGCTGTTTTGGTCCTCCAATCCGTAATCTATCTGAGCATAGGACAGTGACTCGATCCCCCTTCCTCGAACGTGACTAGAAGACTGTCCTTACCTTCTCTATATTACCGGATATTGTTATGTTTTTCCACCAGTTTCCTCTCTCATCTTTCCAATAATGGCAATAATTTGCCTCCTGCATGAAACCGGCCTGGTATACGACAATTTCGCTGAATTTTTCGTATGTCATCCCCTCCTCCTTAGTGCGGGGATACAATTGGGTCTTGACTGGATCAGGAAGTGCCCTCCCAAAATTATTCACAATTTGTGTGGGGGCCAGTCCTTGACCTGGACACTGCAGCAATTCGTCCATAGTAGCCTTAAGGGCCGACACTCTTTTCCATTTGCGGTCACTTATGTTAAGGATCAAGCATTTCGTTCGGCGGGCGAGGTTCTTGTCTTCGCCCGTGTCCTTCACTGCCCTCATGAAGTCCTCAACGCGGGTCTGCTCGAAATATTGCACCATCGAGGAGCAGCCTGCCCTCTTTCACCAACGATATCATTTAGTGGGCAGCATCCCCACGTAGGCATGAACAAGTCATTAACACACGGTCCCGATACGGTACATGTCCATCACTGCCTCCCACTAGAATAAGTTTTCTTCCTTTTTCCAAGTGTATGTCCAAGGAAGTTGTACCTTCATCTTCTTTCTTCTCTCCCCTCCCTCAGACTGCTCCTCACTTCCCTTCTTTCCCCCAACTTTCCTTGGACCTTGACCTTTCTTGTCATCATCACCCCCACCATCTTCATCTCCACCTCTACCACCGCCACTCAACTTCACTGCCGCAATGGTGCTTGTCAACTTTTGCGCGACGATACCATCCAGTTTGCTTGCATAGTCAATGGTTTTTTCATCAATTTTATACGAAGAAGCGAAAAGGAAATTATTCCAAGTACTCTGGAATTCCCTTGGTGGCTGTCAATCTTTCCTACGGATCTTTGGAGTGCAGTGAGTTCCTGATTGGTGTGCAGCAAGGTGTCATTCAGGAGGGTTTTTCATTCATTTCAACCTCCTTCCCTTTCTTCTCCCTGAGTAACCGTTGAAGCATTTCTCACTTCTCCTTCATCCTTTACTTTTCATCAAATTATTTTCTCTTTTGGGCCAACAATCGTTGATTAAGGATACTTCTTCTCTCTTCAATCAGCAATCTTCTCTCCTCCTCATCAATAATTGTTGCCAAGTTGCCAACCACAAAAAATCCCTCACCTTAACGAATTTTTCTAGCATCTCAATGCGGAATTCAAAATTTTCCACCCAGTTCTCATCCTCAAACTGCTGGAGTCTCAACTGTTCGGCCTGGCTGCTCTCCGCAGCGTCTTGAAATTCTCGACCCTCTCCTCTCTTTTCCCTTCTTCTTTTTAATCCTTCTTCTTCTTCTTCCTCCTCTTCTTCAACATCCAACTCCTTGTGTAACTCTTCTTTCTTCTTCATCTCTTCTTCCAATCTCTTCCTTTCCTCCTCCACTTGTTTGGTGGAACCCAAGAGGAAAGACGAAACGGAGCAACAACCCCCATATCACAGACAAGGCCAAGAAAGTGAACAT